TCGTCCGTATACATATCCCTCAAGTAGTAGCGTATGATTGATCGGTTACGCCACGTGAATGAACCGATACGTAAACTATATAATGGACCCCATTAGGAAGTTGCCCCTTCCTTTCCTCCCCTGTCCACGCGCTCTTTCCTTCTTCTTCTTCTTCTAGTTCTCATGAAGTCTCAGCAAGCAAGTTGCTTCACGTCACTCGTCCAGGAAGTCCAGAGAGATCGCTGTTGCAAGAATCCATGGAGCCTCAGCTCTACGAAGCCGCGAGATCTGAGGACGCCTCGTTCCTCGAGATGATAGACGGCAACTCCCCTCTGCTCTCGCAAGTGACCCCGAAGCGAAACACCATCCTTCACGTCTCGGCCGAGTTCGAGCGAGTCGGCTTCTTCAAAGAAGCCACACGGCTCTGCCCATCGCTCTTCGACAAGACGAACTCGAAGCGAGAGACCCCACTTCAGGTCGCAGCCAAAGTGGGCTGCTCCGAGCTGGTTGACTTCGCCATTGACCACGCCAGGAGGCGTACGCGGATGTTGAGAGCCAGGGTGGGCACGATGGGGGTCTCAAGAAGTTGCTCGGGATGGTCAATCTGGAGGGCGACAGTGCGTTGCATTTGGCCGTGAGGAATGGGGATTAATCCGTGGTGAAGTCGCTGGTGGAGGCCGACGCTGGGCTCTTGGACTGTGCGAATTGCGCCGGCGAATCGCCCTTTTACATCGCCACGGCAAAGGGGCACGGCGTGATCGCCGAGCTGATACTGAGCCGCTCCGACACTTGCTTCCATGGAGGCACCAATGGGATGACTGCTCTGCACGCCGCAGTGTATTATCAGCTCAATGGTAATTCATGTCTTATAACCCAACCTCGTTACTAGCTTTTAGTTTTTATTGTTCTTGCTATTTGCTTTTCTGTGCATCTTCACTGGCTTTGGAAGAAAAACTTTGCTGGCTCAAGGGACTTGTCAATCCTATTCTGAATTTGATAAATTCAAAATTGTAGGTTGTGATTGTCTGACCAGGGTACTGGTGTAAAAACAAGCCTGTGTAAATTCTCACTTGAGCATACATTGCATAATGTGCTTATGAATCGCTTGGACGAGGAAGTTCTTAAATTAGTGGTGACTCACAAGTGAAATGCCTCAAAAAATGGGAATACTTGGTGGGTGAAATGTGTTGTTTGGCAGTTAAAATGATGATGAGATTCCTAAATTCGGCTCCTTGAGTCTATGATGAGATGTAAATCTACCATTCGTCTTAGGATTTTTTAAGCACAGTTAATGGTACGATGTGAAGTTTATATATCTAGAGCAGGAAGCAAGGCTGTCTCTTGAAATCCTTGACTTGATTACTTCTCTGCTGAAAGAAGATTTCACACTGCAGTCATGCAAATATAAAAAATTCATATCAATTATCATAACTAGCAGAGAAGCTGACCTCTTGTTTACTTTTTTAGTAATGGTAGTTATGGTAAAACCAGTCAACAAAATTGGATATGTGATAGTCCGTCCCTGAGACTTTAAACAAGTGGGTCGCATTTGACACCCAACAATAATCTGCCACATTATTTGGTTCACCGGCCTTGTATACCAGTCCTAGCACTATTGTCATGTTTAAATGCAAGCTGCAGACATGCTTGTTTGTCTAGGCTTCTTGCTATATCAAGATTAGTCCAGATGTTTGTTTAGGAGGAGAAAGGACTCGAGTCATTTTTGGAAGTATTCAAGGTTGCAACTTCGCTGTCCGGCCTTTCCATTTGCTTGAGATTTGCATTGGCTGCAATAACAGTATGATGTCGGCTGATTAACTATGAATGGAGGCTTAGCTAATTGACTCGGTAATGTCTTAATTTAAGTGAAGGTTCGTGGAGAGATGCAGAGTCTAGATCTTGGCAAAGAAAAAGAGTCTGTCCCCCGGTTCCTCCCTAAATTGTCTGCTGCGGAAGATGTCCCAAGCTGCAGAAGAGACTTTGCTTAAGATTCTAATTAGATCTAGAAGGTTGAATAGTCTAAAACAGGATTTAACGAGCGAAACTCGTCTAAGCGGCTACAGAAGTTCATGAGCTGTTGTCATTTGATCAGGCACTATGAAGAAGATTTTAAAGACGAGCAAGAGCAGACTTGATACGAGAAGGAGATGCCCTCGGCTGGACACCTCTCCATTATGCTGCTCACTTCGGCAATGACAAAGCGGTTAGATTGTTCTTAAAGTACGATAATTCAGCGGCTTACATCCCGGGCAAGAACGGGGAATCGGCCCTCCATATTGCGGCATTTAGAGGCCGCACTTCCGTCATGGAAGAGGTCCTAAAAAATTGTCCTGACACTTGTGACTTGCTAGACAACAAGGGAAGAACTGCTCTCCATGCTGCTGTTTTAGGAGGGCAAGAGAAGGCCGTTCAATTCATTTTGGGGCTCCCGAAGCTCGTGGGCCTTGTGAATGAAGCGGACGAAGATGGGAACACGCCTTTACATCTGGCTGCCATGGACAAAAAGTACGGCATCATAGCGATCCTTGCTCGGGACAGCCGAGTAGACATAAAAGCCACAAACAAGAAGAACTAGACGGCCCTCGGCATTTATAGGAAATATCAAGAGGTACGTTATCTTCTGTTCGGTATCTCTTTCTTGTTGTCACTTAACAAGAAGGTAGGCCATGAAGCAAAGGAATCCTGTTTCAGTTTAGGATTAGCTTCCATAGACTACACCAATGTCTTGAATGTTGGTTGAAGATTTCTGCAGCTGATCGACCATGAAGCCTAAGGACTTAAATTTGTGCTAAGTGCATTTATGCTAAACTACAAAGAGACAGATATCTAGCTCATCGTCATATGAAAACTTTCTACCTTTTACCACCCGCCTGGGTGGCGCTGCTGGAGCGCGCACTCTTCCTCTCGCAAAAAGTTGAGTGTTCGAATCCCGGGTGCCGCAGGATGACTTAACCGGTGTATGTGTGTGGTGGCTAGCACGTGTCGCCCCCAGGGTTTACTTCTCGGCTGTCGGCCGAGCGGGGGTTCCCTGGGTCATCAAAAAAAAAAAAACTTTCTACCTTTTCTTAGTTAATAAACGGACCATTTTGACAAGGCAGTGATGTATGCATCAAATTAGCAATATGTGAATAGTATTCAGACCCTTTGCTGAAGTTTATATCATGATTATTGTTCCTTGTATGCAGAGTGGCTTTGCAGCTGCGAAGGTTTATTTCATGTTGAAAGAGACCTACGGCCTACGAGACATGCAAGCCTGGGTCAACGCGAACGTAAAGAAGATGCTTAATCGAGGACCCGATGAAATAGTCCCGACTGAGAACTTCGGCCACAAAGAGACCTCTTCTCACGAAAAAGGCAACATGCTGGAGATCCACCTCCTCGTTGCGATGCTCATAGCCAGTCACCTTCGCAGCTGCCTTCACGATGCCCGGCGGCTACCACAACAACGGACCAGACGAGGGGATGGCCAGTCTCACCTCGCATCTGGCTTCAAGGCATTCGTGATTTTCGATACTATGGCGTTTTGCTGCTCGGTCGCCGCCATGTATCTCCAGTTTGGGACTTCTGGCGGGGGCTACTACGAGCGAGCCCGGTTTATTAAGGTCGCCGTCGTGTTCATCTTCATCGCGATACTGGGGATGGTATTAGCATTTGCGTCGGCAATGTACATAGTGCTGGCCAAGTGCATCGGCCTCGGATTGACAGCTTACGTAACGGCCGGGTGCTTTATCGTGACATTCTTTCTCCGGTGGTTCGTGGATCCATTAGGGAAGCCAGATCTAGGATTAAGCCGATTGAGGAAGTATCTACGGAACTTGCTCTTCCGTTATGGAATAATCTAATCAGCATGTGTATAATCCACGTTACGATTCTTATTCTGTAATTGTCTTTGCTAGGATGATACCAATCGTGTAAATTATTGTTAGAATACATGAACAATGTGCCTTATCCTTTTGATATTTAGCATACCACCTTATGTGAATAAAAAGAGAAATGGAAGTATGAATGTACGTTACTACCCTTCTAAGCCAAGATGCAACATTTAATCTGCAAAGGATATTATGGGCATACACAAAGTGAGATAGGGGATCATAAGCAAGAAATTTACGGCTCAGATGTGGAGAAAAAGGTCCGATTTCTTGAGTAAGCTTCTTGGGAAAAAGTGTCAGAAAAGTCCTAAACCTATTGCATTAATGTCAATTTAGTCCTAAACATTTTTTTGGTGCTAATTTAGTCCTAAATCTTTTAAGCTAGTGCCAATTCAGTCCTTCCGGCTAATTTTGGCCGAATTTTGCTGACGTAAATGCTGGTCGGTCTACGTGGCACTGCCAGCGCTAATGTGGACAATTTTTAATAATATTTTAATATTTTTTCAATTTTTAAATTATTTTTTATGATTTTTTTCTCTTTTTTTTCCTTTCTTCCTCCCTCCCTCCCTCCCTTTGCCAGTGACCGGCCACCGGCCATAGGGCCGGCCACCGGTCAGGCTGGGTGAGCCCGGTGAGGGCTCCCCTTGCTAGATCTAGCCTGGGCGAGGCCGACCCCTGCATGCCCGAGGCGAGCTCTGGGGAGGGCTCAAGCCTCGCATTGGCCTAGGCGAGGCTCGCCCTCGCCAGTGGCCGCCGGGGTTCGCCAGAGGCCCCCTGGCCTCCAACTGGTCGTTGGACCGACGACCGGCGACCGACTTGAGGACGAAGAAAGGAAAAAAAAATTAAAAAATTATTAAAAGTTATCCACGTCATCGCCGGCGGTGCCATGTAGGCCAGCCGGTGTCCACGTCAGCAAAATTGGACTAAAATTAGCCGGAAGGACTAAATTGGCATAAAGATAAAAGGTTTAGGACAAAATTAGCACCAAAAAAAGGTTTAGAACTAAATTAGCACCAATGCAAAAAGTTAAGACTTTTCTGACACTTTTCCCAAGCTTCTTGACTTAGTATCATACTTGACTTTTATAAGCCTTTTCTCAGCAAAAGATTCAAAAGCAAAGAAACAAATAATCTTTCACTCGAAACCTGCCCAATGAAGAGACTATTTGCCAAAACAAGCCGAACCTTGGCCTTCGCGGTGGCTGAAAGTTTCACCGAGGATATCTTCATCGAGATACTCTCGAGTCTACCGGTCAAGTCCTTGATGCGATTCAAATTCGTCAATAAACGGTGGCGGTCTCAAATTTCCGACCCGGGCTTTGCCAAGTCGCATTTGCAAAGGCTACAGGCAGGGGATATGATTCCTAGCCAGAGAATCATCAAGAGCAGCCCCCTTGAGACCAAAGACTACGAACTGTTCGACGGTGGCATTGGTGGCGATGAAGGTAACGCGGTGGCAAAGTTTCATGAGCTGAGAATGGACAATCCTAGCTTGGAGCCCGATCTCATGGCGTCTTGCACTGGCTTGGTCTGTTTAGTTGTCCACGGCGGATTCCTCCTATACAACCCGACCACCAAGGAGTCTAGGATTTTGCACAGTTCCAATCTTGTTCCAGGAGATAAGTTCTTCCATGGATTCGGATATGACTCTACATCTGATGACTATAAAATAGTACAAGGCAACAGTACTAAGAATTATCAGGTGGCGACATTCGCGCTCAAGTCCGGTTCTTGGAGAAGGATCCGAGTTCAACAAGAAAGCCACCTCGCCGACTATTGAGGAGTTTTTTGGGAAAGGGCCTTACACTGGTGCGGGGTTGACCAGAGCCAAAATAAGAAAGAGACTGCAATTATGTCATTCGATTTGGCATAAGAGAAATTCCACCAGGTGCTTTCAGTCCCTGAAGTTGGTGCGGACATAGTTTTTGAGGGACTTAGGATTCACTGTGGCACCTCAAAACGTCATGTACGACACATGTCCTTTTCAAATATACTCATAGTTATTATTGGCATGCGGAAGCACAAATGAAACACATCGCATGAGAAACATTATTGTTAGTTTCTAATAATTACACATACAATTTTTTTTTCCATTAGTATCCCTCTTCCAAGTATTAATACAAGTACCACAAGAAACAAAATACAAGGCATTAGCTCTGGGAAGTAGATCGGGCCTTGTCAATATTACCCCATACGCCTGTATCCAAATACTTGCCTATACAAAACCACACTAATGACTACGGGTCGACAACCTTGCCCATTGACATGTCACTGTCGACATCAAAAACCCTAATGGTCCAACCAGCTCACCATCGATATTCAAGTACCAAGCTACAAATCGATGGGGAATCCAGTCTAAAAACCCACATCGACCCACACAATGGAACTACGCTTAGTATATACTACGGCAGAACCAGGTACTAACACATCTGTTGAGAAAATCTCCTATATATTTTGAAGTTGACAAAACTATTCATGATTTATATCGATCTTAATAAATGCAAGAAGTGTTTATATTTTAGGTAATATTCACGTTGAAAGGATTCTTTATACTAAAAGATCTATTGAATAAGTCTAGATGAATGGGAATTCTATATTGACTTGAAAGCATCAAGATCTTATGTCTATAAAATCCACACCATTATCGTTGTAAAAGTATTTTGGAAAGAACAGTTGAAAATACCCAATAAGCAGAAGCAACGTACTACGTGGATATTAGCAATTGTACTGCGTGAATATCAGCAGGGTAACTGGATGAATATTAGTAGGGAAACTATATGAATATTCGCAAGGCTGCTAAGTGAATATTAGCAGACAACACTAGATATCATCAGAATGAGGTGTTGCTTATATTCAAGCTATCTCAACCTAAGCACAAACTTAAAATACTGCCAACACCTAAAATTACAATTGTATGCTCACGAAAGACAAATGAAAATATGCCAAGCTCTCTTGAAATCTAGAATTGTGAACTTTTGATCTCACATATCTTCTTTAGCGTCTTGGTCTTCTTTAATACTCCTCAGCTTCCAAACTTCTCGTTGGACAATCTTCAGAGGATCAATCTGTAATCTACCCATTGGACGATTATTATGAAGATAAGGTAGCCGTTGAGGTCGATCAATCGGAATCCCCGTAGATTTGGTCTCCCATGCAATCAAATCTTGATTCCCAAAAATAGAGTAGCTCGCATACGGAAAGTACTTCGTCTTCATGATAATTGCCAATCCACAAAGATGTTACACGTATCAGAAATCTTTCACGTAGATATATTTTGAGATTGATAATCAATAATATTTTTTCACAATTGAAATTCATGTCAAATCACTAGCTGTCAAGGGATAAGATAAAATATCTCAATATAATAATCTTGAAAATCGTGACAAGAACTTCATCATAGGTAATATAGGTATTTTCCTAATATTCAGCTATTACAATACTCTGTTAATCTAGCGTATACCCTGCTGATTTCCAGCTTTTGCTTTGTTGATATTCAGCCTTTGCCTTGCTGATATCCACGCAGTACGTTGCTTCTGGCTTCTAGGACATGATCAATTGTTCTTTCCAAGATACTTTATCAATGATAATGATGTAGATTATGTAGACATAAAACCCAAATATCTCCAAGCCAATATGAACTTCCCTTTTTCTCTAGACTCGTTCATGAAGGTTTATTAGTCATGAAGAATCCTTTCGGCATCAATATTACCTGAAGCACATACACTTCTTGCATTTTATTAAGATCAATATAAACCATGGAAAGTTTTGACAACCTCAAAATATATTATAATTTTTCTCAACAGACGTGTCATTACCTAAAACATAAACATTTCTTGATTGGGCTCTGGCTCTGTTGGCTATCGCTCGAGCTTGGGCTCTGGCTTTGATCTTAGTTGGGGATGGTGAGGACAAACGCCCAAAACCATCCGAAAGTGCCTAATTTTGATACCATGTTGAAATTTAGATTTTGTGCGGAAGCATGGTTTTGATATCGGTAATAGTTTTTTGTTAGTGATGTACAAATGTATATGTCTGTAGGATATATTGTGTAGAAAATGAAATGGGTAGGATAGAGTATTTTAAAGGATATAGACAAGGTTTCACGGAACAAGAATAGTTTGATTTGTTGATAGAATGGATATTACAATAGTTGGAGGAGATGGTGGTGGAGAAACTGAGTTTATTTCCATGCTCCTCGCCACACGGTCGAGGGTTAACTCCCACACCCCTCGAATGGTTGAATTACAAGCTATTTATAGGCAATTACAACCGACTTACCTCTGCAAATACCTCTGCTAAGTCTGAGATTTTTCTTCTTGTCCACCGCCCTAACTAACGTCCACCACCAGTCTCTGCAGGTCAGAGATATCTCTTACTTTTATTCTTATCCACACATTACTAAAAACTTCAGCATTTCTCTGGACTATTCTACATATGTCTATCCTAGAAGACTCTACCAATTGGATCACAAATTCCAACAAAAGAAGCATAGATTCACCAGCCAAGTCAGTTCCATACATCAGAGAGAGAGAGAGAGTGTGTGTTTTCATTACTGGGAATTTATTGAGAAGGCAACACTCTTCATAGTTACATTATCCCAAATTCAGGTTGCCCGAATTCCGGGGACATATCTGAGCCCTCAGAGGGTTCTTCATCACCATGGTTAGCTCCAGCTTTTCCGACAGGTCGACCTCTTCGCCCGCCACCTTCTGCCACCGGAACAGCCACACCAAGTTCGCCACGAAGTACTCCAAGTGCAGTATGGCAAGCCCGTATCCGGGACAGATCCTCCGCCCCACCCCGAAAGGCATCATCTTTATCTCCCTGCTCCCCGTGATGTCGAACCCCCTGGCTTCGCAATTCAAGAACCTCTCGGGCTTGAACGCCATCGGGTCCTCCCAGACTTCCGGGTCCCAACCCATCTCCGCCACTGTGAAGTTGATGGTCCCGTCCTTAGGGATCACGTACCCGCCCAGCTCCGCGTTCTCCGTGACCGCGTGCGGTAGCACGAAGTGCACCGGCGGGTGGCGGCGCAGCCCCTCCAGCACCACCGCCTTCAGGTAACCCATCCTCTGCAGGTCCTCCTCCTTCACTCGCTCCGCCCCGTGTCCCACGACTGATTTGATATCATCATAGAGCCTCTCTTGGATTTCTGGGTACTTGACCAGGTTGGCCATGATCCACTGCAGCGCCGTGGACGTCGAGTCGGTGCCGGCGTTGAGGAACTCATTGCAGAGGCTCATTATCTCGCCCTCCTCCAGCTTCCTCTTCTCCTCCGGCAGCTCCAGGTCCAGGAGCGTGTCCACGTACGATAAGATCCAATCGTTATCGTCGTCATTCCTGTCCTCCTTGGCTTTTCTGAGCTGCTCTCGCTTGGCCTTGGATCGAGCTCTGATGAGCGGGACGAGAACGCGCTTCCGATTCTCGTAGAGCTCGTAGAACTCCTTCCACCCCTTCCGGAGCACGAGCTTGGTCAGCCGCGGTCAGAAATTGAGCACGTCGAACCGCCGCGCACCCAGAATCAACCGTCGCTGAACCTCCTCGATCTGCTTAATCTGCTGCTCCTCGAGCCTGTCTCCGAAGCACATGAGGACCAGCAAGCAGAACATGGCGTACTGGAAGTGGTCGACAACGCGGACGACGCCGCCAGGCTGGGACTTGAGCTCCGCCACGAGGATGTCGAGGACCCACGCGCGGGCGCCGGAGTAGGACCGGACGCGGGAGGGATGGAGGATCTCCGCCGTGAGGTTCCGGCGGAGGAGGCGCCAGGTGGGGCCGTAGGAGGCGGAGTTGATGTTGTGCTGGTCAGCGGAGAGGACGCGGTTGGTGGCCAGGGGCGGTGGGCGGTCGGCGAAGACGGCGCCGTGGCGGACGAGGGCCTGGTGGGCGAGGGCCGGGGAGGAGACGTAGACCGCGGGGCGGGGGCCGATGTGGAGGGTGACCATGGGGCCGTGGCGGGCGTGTAGGGAGCGGAGGACGGGCTTGAGCTCCGAGGAGGACTTGCGGAGCCATAGCAAGTTGCCGATGAAGGGGAAGGTGAGGGGGCCCGGCGGGAGGCTCTTCTTCTTGGCGGCGGAGGAGAGGAGGTTGACGGTGGCTCTGAGGAGGGCGGCGACGGAGAGGGTGACGACTACGACGAACCAGAGATCCATCTTTTGCCAAAGCGACTTCAAGTTCATGAGTGATTTGTTCGTTTCATATAAGCATGGAGTTTAGATGGCAACTCTACACAAAATAAAAAGGGAAAATTTCAAATCGGTATCAAAAGTGGGATCATTTTCTCAAAAAAGGGTCAAAAGTGGACATAGTATCAAATCAGCCCAGGCGAGGGTAGCCCTCACCTGGCGCCCGCGAGGGCAACCCTCACCCTCATTGGATCTGGGTTGCCCTCGCCGGCGTCGAGCGAGGGCCGCCCTTGCCTGAGTTGGGCAGGCGACGGCGACCCTCGCCAGATCCGGCGAGAGCAACCCTCTCTCGCCGGATCTGGTGAGGGTCGACCCTCGCCCTTGCCGGATCTGGCAAGGGTCGACCCTTGCCCGCCCAGCCCAGGCGAGGGCGGCCCTCGCTTGACGCCGGCGAGGGCAGCCTTCGCCCGACGCCAGCGAAGGGAAACCTTCACCCGACGCTAGTGAAGGGAAACGACGAAAAAAGAAGAAGAAGAAAACAGAAAAAGGAAAAAAGAAACATAAAAAATTTAAAAAGTAAAAGACGAAATTATCCTTATTCCGATCGCCGGAACAGTGTAGTGCTTGCCGGCCGGTGAGCATTTGACCGGCCGACAAACCCAAGTCCTTACTTGAGATTCATTGGGCACTTCCGGTCCATTTTTTAGACTGATTGGACGCTTCAAACCCTTATTTGATATTATGTTCACTTTAGACCTTTTTTTGAGAAAATGACCTCACTTTGGGTACTGATTTGAAATTTTCCCAA